TGTCTGTCTAGTAGTGCTGCAGTCTGGTTTTGTTATTTTCTTTGTCGTTCTAGTAATTTATTTATTTAAATTTGCACCGTTTTTCTTTTGTTTATTTTTCTTATATTTTTTGTGATTTTCGGGAAAGAGTTTTCTCTATTTTGAAATTTTACTCAGCAATTATTTTCTGAAGTTATATATAAGCCGGCCAGCAAAAAAATCTGCCTACTATTTTTTTATGGCGACACTAGGGTTGTTCTACATATATACCAAATATGTTAAGTGATAATTCACATAATATGTAACATTAAATTATATTATAGCTAAATGTATATCACTGTTGCACAAAAATATATCATAAAAAGTATAATAAATTACAATATTTAATTATTAAATATATATAAGAAAAAAATAAAATTTGTTTTATCGCTGTTATTGACTTTGACTGTATTGTAAATTATTCAAATAACCACCTTTGAACTCTTTGAAAATGGTCAATTATTACTACATACAGTATAACTTGAAGCTCTTTATTTATATATTTGCAAAATTTTATAGAATTTTTTCATGTAACTATTGTGCATATTTTGGGTCTACTATGTATACATATGTATAGATATATATTGAAACTCTACATTATTTCTAAAAAACACATTTATTATAGTATTAATAAAATTAGTAGACATAACTACACATATAATATTGACGTTCTTTCTATAATATTTTATCAAATGGCTAAATTACCCAATATAAATGATAAATTTTTAACCTTAGAGGCTCTAGAAGAAGCTGCTCAGGCTGCTGCTAAGGCACAGGGCTTTGCTTTTTCAAGACGAAATAGTAATTTAGAAAGAAACAAGGGTAGATTACCTTATGTTGTCTTGCAATGTACAAGAAGTGAAAATTGGTGTAACAATTGGGACATTACTAGAAAATCATGTAAAAAAGAGTCAAAGACTAACCGAATTTGTTGTCCCATCTTTATTAGAGCTACAATTACCAAAAAACAATTATCTGTTGTTTGGGTTATTACAAAGGCTGAATATATTCATAATCATTCATTACTTCAACCAGATGAAATAGTAAGCCTTTCTCAACATAGAAACTTGAGTGTTGATCAAAAAAAGCTCTTGTATGAGCTACATAGTATTAGTATGCCTACACGCATTATTACTATTGCTATAAATTAGCTTAGTAACAGTGGTATTGTTATGCCAAAAGATGTGATAAATAAACATGCACAGATTAGATATGCACTTAACGAAGACCCTAATGCTGACTCTGCACAAAAACTTTTATGTCTTTTAAAGCAACATGATTATACAGTAGAAATTTTAAAAACACCAGATGGCTATTTAACACATTTGTTTTTCTCTCACTTTGAGGCAAACATGAATATGCAAAATGTCCAGAAGTTTTAATTGTCGATTCAACTTATAAAACAAATATATATAAGTTTCTACTTGTGAATGTGGTTGGAATTAGCAATATTACAAATAATAGAGGCTTATTAAAAACTTTTCAAATTGCAATGGCGTGAATCGAAAATAAAAGCGAAGTTTCTTATTAATGGTTTTTAATGACACTTTATAATAAAGTATATGATGCATATGATTGTCTTCCAAGCGTATTTATGTCAGACAGAGACCAAGCACTTTGAAATGCCTCTAACAAAGTCTTTCCAGAAGCAAATAAAATGCTACGTGTCTGGCATTTAATTGAACAAAACCTTAAAACCAACTGCTATAAACTTTTTGATAATAATGATAACTATCTAGAATTTAAAAAACAAGTAGAGGCTTTGCATTTAACTTTTGACGAAGAACATATAAATGTTGCAATGAATTCCATTAAGAATACTACAGAAATGGCACATGATCAACAAAAGCCTCTAGCATACATTGAAAGTTTAATGAAAGATTCAAAATTATGGGTTTATGCATTTACTAAGCACTTTTGTCATATGGGTATTTCGACTACTGGATGTGCTAAATTATCACATATTGCTTTTAAGCATGCAATAGAAATGGCTAGTGGTTTAGAATCAGTTTTCGAAGCAATTGATCAAAGGATGAGAGTTCAACATCTTAAAAATTCTATGAATATAGGCAATAATAAAATTACATATGATCTATTTATTATACATGATCCTTATTTTAGTATAATTCTTGGTAAAGTATCAGTATATGCGATTAATCAAATAAAGAGGCAATTGGCTAAAAGTGAAAAAAAGTTGATAATATATGATAACATAGAAACTTGTTAATGCTTAATTAATATTAATTATAAGCTTTCATATTATCATATTATTTCTAAAAAAGATCCAATTCCTCTAAGCATAATTGACAAGCGTTGGAATCTTCATAGACCTGAAATTAAATATCTTTCACAACCTTCTTTGGAATCACCAGTTACTGATCCAGAATTTTACAAAGTATTTCTCAAAGCTGAAGACCTATTTCATAAACTTCCGGATGATCCTTCAATGAGAACAGAGTTTATATCACATATACGTGAAGCAGTTACAATGCCATTATCTGAACCTGTGAAGGCTCCAAAGATAAAAGTTCAAAGTAGTCATCCTTTTGGCATGAAATGTGAAAAACTTAAGAGTGAAAAACAGGAATTAGAAGCAAAAAAAAAACAAAAATTACTAAATAAATTTCAATTAAAGCAAAAAGACAATAATATTTTATATTCTCTTGCTACTTACTATCAGAATGTTGATATATATAAAGAAAATGTACCAAAATTTATGTAAGAGCATATAGCAAGCTACATGAATGTTCATAGTGATGGAAACTGTGGCTTTCATGCCATCGCTATATCACTTGGAATGTCCGAAGATGAATGGCTAATTATAAGACAAAATATTTTTAATAAATTAACTAATCAAAAGTCTCATTATATTGAGCTATTTATTGAAGGTGAAGCAGAATATAATAATATTATTTCAATCATTCAATAGGAGAAAGGTCCTTGCAGTGTTGATTATTAGATGACAATGCCATCATTTGGGTATCCTATTGTGAATACTTTCCAGCAACCAGTTCATTATTTTAGTAGGCATCAATGTCTAATATTTTTGCTTGACAACATTCCACTAAACAGAAACCAGCCTATCATATTTGTTTTCATTGATAAGCAGAATCACTATATTGCTATAAAATTGAAACCTAATGCACCCATTCTAGTTATTGTTCGAGGATGGCATAATATAAGTTCAAATGAAAGCAAAATCTGGGAATGATTGTTCGAAACTAGAATTACACACTTTCAGAAAGCTCTTAAAAAAGAGCATAATGTTTATACAATTGATACAGTTGATTTATCTTAATTGTAAGTATCATACTATTTATTAATAATATATAATTTAATTTATTATGGAGTATTACATTTAATAATTTTAAGGTTAATAATTATTAGAATGAAAAACAGTATAATAATGTTACAAGAATTGGAAACTGTATATCTTTGCTGATTTTTACATTTATCTTAATACACGGTTCACTTTTATTATAGTTTATTACATTACCTTTAAAAAAGTTTTTGGTCCTCTTGATTCATTAATTTTAATATAAATTTTAATAATTTCATGTACAGTGTTTAAATATCAAATGCATTATCTTTATTTAAATTTTCTCATACTTTGTGAATGTACTGCCATTGATGTACGTACGTATATATGTATGTACGTATAGCAGAAATAGCAATGCTTATATATATGTCCAATGAATTAGACATATAAATTTATACATTCAAAGGTCAATTTTTATATGTTGATGTTTAATTTGTTCAATTGCTATATAAAGTCAATAGCACTTAATAAATTGTGTTGTGTAACAGTGATGATTTCAAAGTTACAACAATCACGTATATATTTGATAGGTGCAATTCACGTGATCTGGTAGGTGTCCAGAGACTTTTTCATTATGGACACGTACCAATCACATGTTATTTAGCATTATGGACATGTACTGATTACATGATATTAATTATTACATAATCATTTTACAAAGTAGCAAACTCAGCATTTTTCATAATAAATGATCATATCAATCAATCCAAGCTGTGTACAATAAGACATATTGACACAATAATTGAAAATGACTTATTGTCAGATGATAAGGATCCAAAACCTGTTAGATCTTTTTTGACAAGATAATTTTAACATCCTTACCCAGAATTCATGACAATAACTGTAAGTCAAAAATCTGAAATGAATGATACGAATTTTAGATAATTTTTAAATATAAAAATAAAAATGTTGTAACTGATATTGGCATAATATTTGTAATGAGTTTCTTTAAAATTTTATATTTGACAATGTTAATATTGATTAATTTGTCTTTTTTTATATGTAGTAAATATTAAAAGTCATTTAGTCTACTTTAAAAACCAGTCAATAGACTATACTATAGATCAGTTTATAGATTGATTTTTAGAATCAAATCTAGATTAAATCAATTGTTGTATTAATGTGTCTTATTATATGCAGCTTGGTTTGATTGATTAGTTAATTAAAGTAAAATCTTTGATAATTGCATTTTTATTTGAGTTTACTATTTTATAAAAAATAATTATGTAATAAATTAATATCACATGATTAGTACATGTTCATAATATTAAATATCACATAATTGGTACATTTTTGTAAACTCTTTACAAATTTTTGGAGATAATATATTTTGCATATCAATAAGACTACAATTAGTTACTTATACAACTTTAGTTATTGTTTATTTAAAGGTTTCATCTGCAGATTATCTATTAATTATCATATCTGAAACCTACTTATAAGTAGTATTACAAATTGTCAAAATTTTTTAATAGATTAGTTATTTATTATTTTTTTAGTTAGTTGTAACTAACTGATTAGTTGCAACTGATTAATTAATTAATTAATTAGTTGCAACTGGTCAATTAATTGACTAATCAATTAGTTACAATTAATTTATTAAGTAAATAAATAATTTTTCAATTAATTCTTTGTAACTGATTAATTAATTTTTTAATTGATTAGTTGTAACTAATTGATTAATTAATTAGTTGATATTTAAAAAGTTCAGTTAATTAGTTGTTAACTAATCAACTAATTAATTAATTTTAATTTTAATTTATATTATTATTTGTAGATTTTTTATTTAAAGTTTTTAATTTTTAATATTTTTTTATAATATTAATTTAATTTTAACAATAAACTTTAGAATTATTTTACTTTTGATATAAATTTTATTGAATAAAAGTAGATTCTACAATTATACCTATTTGGATTTATGATATTAAAGGTAATTTCATATAAGATAAGATCAATCTTTTTCATAAACATTAATAATACTTCATTATAGTAATGTTTATGTTCTATTATACTAATTTTTTTCAAGAATTTCTTAGATCAAATATATATTTTTACTTAGACTTTAACAAAGTTTATAACTGATTATAGGTTTTATTTTTGATTATAAAATATTTTATTTTTAGTTAAATTCAAATTATTAATCTTATCTATAAAGAAATAAGAGTTTAATAACTAAGCTATAGAACTTAACTTATAAAAAATAAAATAAAAAATAAAAAATTAATTATAATTTTTTAAATTGTATATTTAAAAATAATATCTAAATATAATTTTACAATAATATTATTAGTTATTTTTTAAAAAAAACTTTTTAATTGTTATATAATCCTAGAAACTTATATTTAACAGTTTTTTTTTTTTTTTGAATTTTGGCAATATTGCCAGTTGGTTTATTAGCTTTAATTTAATATAATACAAAAAAAAAAAAAAAAACTCTCTCCTGTTCATCACTAATTTGAACAGGATTTTTATTATTGACAAAATAACAACTAACAAAGAAAACAAAGACCCTTTATTTTTTATTAGAACT